GCGTCACTTGTGGGTTGTCCCAACAATGCTTTTTTTTTTTTTCATGAGGCAGCCCGCCACTGCCTCTTCAACAAGCCAAATCATAAATCTATGATATCTGTCAGAACAAGTCTGTGTAGGCAGCTGGGCTCCCACCGTGAGCTAAACCACAGACTTCTGGACTGTGAGTTATTTCATTTTTAAAACTTTTCACTGGGGACGTTTTGAATGTAAGTAACGGAGAATCTTTTCGATTGGAGCGGCATGGAAATATGCTTAATGAATAAAACTGGTCGAGTTCACACACGGCACCACGTTAAAGTTTGCTGCAGTGATAAGTTTGTTGAACACACCGGAATGGCTGCTTATCCTGCTAGCCCAGGGCTAGGCAACCTTGGCTCTTTTATGACTCGTGGACTTCAACTCCCAGAATTCCTGAGCCAGCATGGCTCAGCTTGGAAACCTCTCCCTGTCTCCTCAGCATGGCTGGCTCAGGAATTCTGGGAGTTGAAGTCCACCAGTCATAAAAGAGCCAAGGTTGCCTATCTCTGGCCTAGGCCTAGGCCGCTTTATGACTCGTGGACTTCAACTCCCAGAATTCCTGAGCCAGCACGGCTCAGCTTGAAAACTCTCTTTCCCCTCAGCATGACTGGCTCAGGAATTCTGGGAGTTGAAGTCCACCAGTCATAAAAGAGCCAAGGTTGCCTACCCCTGTGCTTAGGTCATAAACCATGATTAACAGGCTGCAGAGACTGGATTCACACAAACGGCTGAGCCAGAATCGCCATGGTGGCCTCTAGTGCGAAGACCAAAGCTTTACATGCACACAAACAAGGCTGAGACATACGGAAGTATAAAATACATATACAGGCAGTCCTCAACTTGCAACAGTCCATTGAGTGACCATTCGAAGTTACAACGTAACTGGAAAAAAACAACTTATAACCATTTTTCGCACTTACGACCACTGCCGCACCCCCCCAGGGTCATGTGATCAACATTCTGATGTTTGGGAACTGGTTCATATTTATGACAGTTGCAGGCTCCCGGGATCAGGAGATCCCCTTGGGGGACCTTCTGACAAGCAAGGGGAAGCCAGATTCACTTAACAACCATGTTACTACCTTAAGCACTGCAGTGATTCACTTAACTATGGCAAGAAAGGTCATAAAATGGGGCCAAACTCACTTAACAACTTTTTCCCTTCACCCTCATTAGAAATGCCAATAGAATAGAATAGAATAGAATAGAATAGAATAGAATAGAATAGAATAGAATAGAATAGAATAGGAATTGGAATAGAATAGAAATAGGAATAGAATTAGAATAGGAATAGAATTGGAATAGAAACAGGAATAGAATAGAATAGAAGTAGGAATAGAATAGTAACAGGAATAGAAACAGGAGTAGAAACAGGAATAGAATAGAATAGAATAGAAAACAGAACAGAACAGGAGAATAGAGAATAGAATAGAATAGAAAACAGAACAGAACAGGAGAATAGAGAATAGAATAGAATAGAATAGAATAGAATAGAATAGAATAGAATAGAATAGAGAATAGAATAGAATAGAATAGAATAGAATAGAATAGAATAGAATAGAATAGAATAGAAATAGGAATAGATTAGAAACAGGAGTAGAAACAGGAATAGAATAGAATAGAATAGAATAGAAATAAGGAATAGAATAGAATAGAATAGGAATAGAATAGAATAGAATAGAAATAGGAATAGAAACAGGAGTAGAAACAGGAATAGAATAGAATAGAATAGAATAGAAAACAGAACAGAACAGGAGAATAGAATAGAATAGAATAGAATAGAATAACAGAG